TTATCGTATGCAATGTAGGGAATAATTAACCATATTCCCAGATGGTGTTCATGAAAACATTTTTGAGCGACTGTTTCAAAGTTCGTATAGCTAATGAAGCCTCCCTTGACGTCATTATCATTAGCATATTGGAAGATTAAACCTTCAAAACTCAAAGACGTAAAACTGAAATGCAGAAATATTTCACAATTCAATTATTTACTTTATAAAGAAATTATTTTGTAAGGCGTCATAGGCACTTTAAATTTGAAATATAATTTCCTGAATTAACTTATCTTTTCCACTGGAAAAAACCGCGCGCTTTGAACCCTGTAAATACATGTAAATATGATGGGAAATGTATGTAAATATCCGGTAATTCGAATTTACATCGTATTCCCATCTTATTTACAGGGCTCCCTGTATTTTTTTTTTTCTCCCAATCAGATCCAAAGTGCATGTAAACTGTCAATATTAATATCTGGTATGGCTACACATTGGGCGACTGAAACAAAAGAAAAAGTCAACCATGCAAAACTATGTCGGCTCCTTTATGATGGAGGAGGAACTGCTGTGAGATCTGTAGTGGATCATCATTGTCCACCAGCAACTTTGGCAGCAACTCTTAAAGCTAAGAAACCACAACTACAGAAACTCAGGAAGCCAAAAGGGAAGGTTTTGAATATTGAACAGTGGGACAAGCTCTACCCTTCCAGTGGTACCAGCCCCAGTACAAAAGATATTGACATCACTTTGTTATTTGTTCTTATAAGGAACATTTGTGGACTTACTAAACCAGCTACTGGATGGGATGCTTTGCCACCACCAGTTGATACATCAACTGAAGCTAACCTTGCAAGGATTAAGTATTACAGAAACACTGTTATTGGTCACAGTGGAAATGCTGAAGTAGATGATATACAGTATGAGGCATACTGGAAGGACATTTCAAGTGCTCTTGTTTCACTAGGACTCGACCAAGTTGAAATTGATGGCTTTAAGTCACGTCCTTTGGGAGTTGAAGACTACAACAGGCTGCTGAAAAATTGGCAATTGGACGAAACTGACACCAAAGATCAATTATCTGACATCAAGTATTCTATAGCATCAGGATTTACAAACATGGGAGAACAAATTAGGCAAATTCAAAAGTCAGCAACTCCTAGTGAAACTGATAAGCTTTTTCACCAAGAATTCAGAAGCCATATTTCTTCAAAATGCAGTCTGTATCATCCAAACACAAGAGCTTGGATATTGGAAAAAGTGAAAGCTCAAGTTGAATCTGATTTCAAGGAAGTCTTGGTGATACAAGCTGGGCCTGGCATGGGCAAATCAGTACTTGCTGCCAGAATATGCCAAACGTATCGAGGCTGTCAAGACAATCTAGATGGCTTTGAAGATTTTGAAGACAGTCAAGAAAACCAAACTATCCTTGGTGCCTGTCATTTCTTTCAACACAACGATCCCTCTCGAAATAACCCAAGGTTAATGTTGCAGTCTGTTGCATGGCAGCTCTGTCGCTATCTTCCAGATTACAAAGTTGCTGTAGAGAAGGTTCTGCAATCAGACCACATGAGAAAACGTGATATCTCAGTTCTAAACTGTACCGAACTTTTTACTTTGCTATTTGAAGAGCCATTTTCGCATCTTGGTAATGAGCTAACAGGCAAACTTGTTGTCGTCATAGATGCCCTTGATGAGTGTTGCAACAGTTTGAAGAAAGAATTCTTCCAAGTCATTCGTGACAGGCTATATTATTTACCATCATGGATACGATTTGTCATGACAACAAGACCTCCTCCAAGTATTTCTTCTCATGTACCAGGGAACACAACTGAAATTGATCCAAAAGCTTCACAGAATACTGAAGATCTTAAAAGCTTTTTCGCTGACAAACTGAAAGAGCTGCCCCGCCTTTCTTTTGATCAGCAACAGCTAAGTCACTTAGAACAACTTGTTGACTTGACTGATGGTTTTTTTCTGGTGGCCTCATTTGTCATCGATTTCTTAAACAAGACAGGCGTTCACTCATTGACAGAAGCACTGGAGCGCTTTCCAAAAGGCAGGGGGATCACCTCTGTTTATGAAGACTACTTCTCGAGACTACGGGATGAAATAACTCCACACCTAAAAAGTGAAGAAGGATTCTACAACATGCTGGATGCTGTAGTTAAAGCCAAATCTCCAATTGAAAAAAACATTTTCTATGATATCCTTGGTTTGCCTCTGAAAGAGTCAAGGATACCAGACAACAAGAGAAAAGAGGCCGTCAACCTTCTTCATCAATTGTTCCCTGTAGAGAATGATCACGTGTTACCATTCCACAAGACCGTCATTGATTGGTTGACAACTGGTGACCATGACTTTGTCGCTAAGGGTGATGGTAATGAAGTACTTGCCAATGTGTGTTACGACGCCCTAATGAATATCAAACGAGAAATATTGAAGAACCAAAATCCTCCTACCCAACTAACAGACAAGGAAATGTTTGCTTTTGACTTTGGATTCGATTACATGGAAGAAAGTCAAAGCTTCAATGAAACGAAAACGCTTGCAATCACAGCTGATCCATATGTACTTTGTACCGAGGCAATTTGTGACAAGAACAATTCCGATGCAAATGAGTTCTATTTAGCCAATGGTTTCTACAAGAAAGCGTTTGCAGAGCGACTTCCGGCTGAGCTTCGACCAATTTATTATCAAATTCAAATCTTTCTTAATAGAAATTACCATCCTCATCTGCATGAATGCATGTGTGTACAAAAGGTAACGTTCTTGCAGTGCTTGGAGTTCACATTTCGAGCGTTAAACCTCTTAAAAATTGAAACCGAAGACAGCGTATTTCATTATCTGAAAGAAAACTGTCTCCCTTACCATGAAAAAGAGACAATTCTACAGCTGAAGCTTGCAAGTCCAATGGTGGTCACAGAAGTCTTGCCATCCGACGATGGGTTTTTCCTTGGACAGCATTGGGATGGACAGACGTTAGTAAAGAAATATCATCACGATGGAACATTCATCAATGAAGTCCAACTCGACGAGATTTACAATTTAACTTTGTCTCCTGATTATAAATCTATTGTAGCTTGGTACCGTATCAACTCAATCTCCGATAACATCGATATTAGAAATGTTGATGCTCTGGGAAAAGTCACAAGCTATAAATTGCCCAATTTTATAAAGTCTTTGCACGTGTTTGGCAGTCAGCCGTGGTACATCGTGGCAAGATGCTTCGACAATATGATCTACATCGTGGAAGGAGACACGGGTAGATTGGTGGGAGATCCTTGTGCAGTACAACAGAACGAGAATGTTCTTTGTGTCAGCAACGTGGGGCACATTCTTCTGACAAAAACTAGTATTGCTATGTTTAGTGACATTCTAGACCGTGCATTCACGGATGAAGAGAAACGATTGTGTTTTCAAATGCTCTTAACACATCAGAATGTAGCCTTAAAGAGACGTGATACTGTTTCTTGTGAGTTATTTCTGTGTAACTACAAGGAGCTTAACAAGAGAATTCCCATCTACTTTAGGCATTTGCGTTGTCGGTGCTCGAGGATCGTCGGCCGTGAACCGATCTCTAGACTAACATATTCTGGTCATGTTTTGTTTTCGGAAGATGGACATCTCTTAGCCTTCTATTATGCTCGTTGTATTACCATAGTAAGAACATCTGATGGCTCTCTGTACACAAGTGTCTGCCTGTGTTATCACGGACACCTCTTTGACTATGACGTGCACATTCTATACCTCTCAGAGACAGGGATTATAATAAACGGTAAAGAGAACATTTTTTCCTTCAGCTTCACTGGAGAGAGTCGTCCGCGTGATGTTGCTTTTGAACACGTGTATTTCTTTCCTGAGAATCCTGAGAGAATTTGTTTCTTTGTCTCAAGGAGCTCAAAAAAACCGAAAGAACTTTGGTATATTAAAAATATCCAGTACAACCAAGGCGAAGCTACCAGTTACTATGCTCTTTCCTTTCAGAAATACATGTTCTTTGATCAGTAACTTCTCCTGATTATGCATATTTGTTTCACAACAAAATCAACTATGCTAAGTAAGAGGTAGATAAACCACATATATGACATTTTCTTGAATACAAGACTGATGTGGCTGGTTATCAACGGTCTCTAGTAGAATTTTATTGTAGTAGGTCATGAACAACATCGAACGTTTAACGACACAAAACTTTGTATTATAGAAAAGTATTGAGTATTACGAAATGTTAACATGATTAATGTTTTCAAGTTATTGTAAAAAAAATATTATTATTGAAACAACGATTTGTAGTTTTAAACAATTGTAGTGAATTCAACACAATGTCTTAGCTTCCTACTTGTTTACCAGAGAATTTTAAAGCATATTTTGTGGGTTTTAGTAATAAAATGAAAAATGCGAAAAGCAATCATTTTGTTTCTGTCACCGCAGGTAAATTGTCTGCATGGCTACAATGGGAGACATTTCTAATCTTGCGCCCCCTTGCGCCCCTATTCAATGTTGGAAGATGCTCATGTTCAATACCCATTCAAAAATTGATCTCTTGAAACCAACATTGAATGAGGGTTGGGGGGGGGGCGTTTACAATATATTTTCTCAAGGTATGAAAATATGAGCTTGCTCCGTATAAAAATGTCCACCATTGTAGTTCAATTGTAGCGCAAAATTTGCAGTCTTTGGCCCAGAATTCAAATCGCACGCCCAGGCGCGTAGCGTCCTTTATGCATATACGCACGTGCGTACTAGTAGCAAGGAAATATTAAAATTTTCGCGAAAAATTACTGAAAAATTCACTTTAAATTGATCCCTTTTATATACCCTTAGCCTGCTTTACATCCGGTTTTGTAACACAGGCTAATATACCCTCTATGTCTCTCGAAACACTGGAAATCGCATTTCCAAGAGTTATTGTTTCAAAATTTCCTGAGGGAGATCCAGACTCCCTAAATACTCCCGCCTTTTGCTCCCCCCAAAATATGTGTCGCAATCCCTGACGTGCGTACTAGCCAAAACGTCTACGATACGCGCCTGACGCCATGTGGTTGACGACTATTTACCGCCCTGCTTGCGGCACGTCTATGAAATACAGCGACTTTATTTTAACTCTAAGATTGCGAATGCAAGAATCTGAATGCTAAATTTTCTCTGCAATGATAAAAATATTAAAAAAAATGAAGTGAAAAGATTATACGCAAAATCTCAGTATCAAATCGATTGCGGCGCTGGTAAAAATATATATTAGCGTAACCTGGACACGGTATGTTCCACGAAGTGGTTCTTGCTTAATGATGGCCAAGATCGATTTCTCATGCGGTTTGAAGATCGAGACAACAAAATGGCGGGGATTCGGTATAGACCGGTATGCTTCTGAACACTTAGAGATTATCTCTTTTGTTCCAAAGTCAAATAGGGATAATACATTGTTATGTACACGATCAATTAGTCATTTAATACCATAATCACCTCGGTAAAATTATAGTTCTCATTTCTCTGGGAAGGAAGAGGGTATGCTGGATTTGGGTCACGAAGTGCTCAACTTTTTCGGGGGTGGAAGGGGAATATTGAATATTGAATATCGTACTCGAAAGTCTTTGGAATATTGAATATTTACCTGAAAAATGTACGGAATACGGAATATTTGTAATAACACACACAAAAGCCAGAATAGGGAATACTCACTCATCCAGCTAGTTAAAAAAATAGCAAAGTTAAAACAGAACACCAGACTCCTCAATATCGATCCTCCGAGTCAATTAGCTTCAATTCGGGCTTCCTGTGGTTCGGATTCCTGATCATGCGAAGGCGTGATAGAGCGGATTTCGTATGAGTGGGACACCGTTACTACACCGTTACCGCTACCGTACCGATGTCGTCTAAGTTTGGCCAATCAGAAAAGACAAAAGCTTCTAAGCACCAATCAGAAATCAGACTTACTGACGGTAATACCGCACTTACRGTTACCGACCGTAATACCGCACGGCAAGAGAAATCGTCCAATCACGAAACAGAATCACCATTACTGTTACCGTACGGCATTGGGAAAATTTGATCCAATCACAAAATAGCAAAATTTTAGAGAACCAATTGGRMATCCCAATTTTKGTTACGGTACAGTTACAGTCACGTTACAATACGATGGGTTTCCCACTCATACGAAATCCGCTCTATCCGATATCCAACGCTATTTACTGTTTCGCATCGCACGCAAGTTTCGGAGTCAATCTCAGACGTTTTTTCGGTAATATGTTATCCAACTGATCTGGGGAATACTTAATATACTTAAACAATCGTGCCCCTCAAGGTCGATGAAACACGTCTTGGTGTATATCTACCACTATATTAATAGTCCACTTCGCGGATAATTCGAAATTTTACATTACGTTGTTATGGTAAATCATTGACATCACTGGAAAGAGCGTCATAAAATCAGCAAATTTGCCAAGTTTGAAAATAATCTGATTTAAATTAAAAGAGATACGGCACTTCAAAAACACTAAATTTTGCATAGAAATGTTTGGCGAGTTGTAACAAGTCAAGGTCAACCTCGATCTCATGCTCACAGCCATACATTTCTTTGTAAATTTTGCCGACTTTTAAACGCTGTATCTCCTTGAATTTCCATCGAATCATGCTCAAACCTGGTGAACATACTAATTTTATACTGTTCTTTCCAGTGGTAGTAATATTTTTTCGATTTTTGCTCAATTTCTAATAGCTGTGTTATCCGCGAAGTGGACTATTGATAATTAGTATAAACATACTAATGGTCTATCACTCATACTGCGCTGTGATTGGCTACTCTACTAATGGTCTAATTTGTGATAGACCACTCGCGGGAAAATCAAAATAAATAAATAATAAATAATAAATTATTTTAAGGATATTTCAATTTGTTTTCATTATTTGACCGATTAGTATGTTTATACTAAAACAATTAGACCTCTCGGCCTCGTGGACTACGAGCTAATAGCCCATTCGGCCTCGCGGACTCGGCCTCATGGGCTATTAGCTCGTAGTCCACTCGACCTCGAGGTCTAATTGTTAANTGTCCCTGTTAAGTTTCAGTTTGTTTTCAGTCATCCAAGTATTTACATCACATAGACAGGCTTCTATTCTCTTCATCGCATTATTCATATCAAGATTATCATAACAGGAGAAGGGCATGAAGAGCTGGGTATCATCGGCGTAGAAATGGAAGGACATACCATGGCGGCGAAGGATTTCAGCAAGTGGAGACGTATACAGGAGATAGAGTAGCGGACCAAGAACGGATCCTTGAGGAACACCACAATCAACACCAAGAACTTTAGAAGAACATCCATTAACAGATACAAATTGAGTACGACCACAGAGATAAGACTTAAACCATTGCAAGGCTTTTCCACAGACCCCAAATTTTGAAAATAGACGATTAAGTAGAATAGAGTGATCAACAGTGTCAAACGCAGCAGACAGATCAAGTAGAACCAATGCAACACCAGAACGATTATCAATTTGTTGAAGAATGTCATTTTGAACACGTGTAAGGGCAGTTTCGCAGCTATGAAGTTTTTTATACGCAGACTGAAGAGGTTCATGAAGATCATTCGCGGACAGATAAGTAGACAATTGATTAGCAACAACTTTACCAATAATTTTTGAGATAGTTTTAAGATTTGAGACAGGGCGATAATTTCCAAGAATTTCATGATCAAGTGAAGGTTTCTTTAGTAAAGGTTTTATTACGCCAGTTTTTAAACAGGAGGGGACAGATCCACTTTTGAGTGAAGCGTTAACAATCTTGCAGATAACAGGCAGAAGAGTTACCGAGGTATCTTGAAGAAGACCAGCAGGAAGAGGATCAAGCTCACAGGACTTAGACATCAGCTTTCGAGATATGAGTGATAGCTCATCAAGTGACACAGGAAAAAACGAGTCTAATCGACAGTCACATTCACAGAGGACCAGATCAGGGACAGTATAAATTGGCAGCAGAGTTCAGAGACATAGGGAAACCATTTCTTATATTTACAATTTTATCCTTAAAGAAATCCACAAAAGTATTAGCAAGATCTTGCGACGAAGGAGTAGATGGAAGTTTCTTTTCAGGAGTTAAATGTAGAAGGCGATCAATAGATTTGAAGATTGCGTGACAATCAGAACCAGCATCAGAGATTAAATCAGAGTAGTAGTTCATTTTAGCTTCAAAGATCAGTTTTTTTACAAGATTACTTTGTTCAACAAACAAATCACGATCAATAGTTAATTTAGATTTTCGCCAACGTCGTTCAAGCTTGAAGACGAAAGCTAGAGACGAAACTTAGTTTTAGACACAGATAAAACAAAAAATGTCGAAAAAGGTAAATTTTTATTCAAATATGAAACAATGGGTGACTGCAGAAGAGTATTTTCTATTCCTGCGATTCCTCAGCCGGTATTCCTTTACAATCAATCACTAAAATGGTTAAAAATATATGGTGCCTTTGTTAATTGCTACAAAATAAATACAACTTTACAAATTGAGACGAGAGGATGTGAAGTAGACGTGTGTACATTATAAAAGGCCGTAAAAAGTGAGTTTGCAAAGAGAGTTTTCACTAACCAATCACAGTGCATCCAGCTAAAGATTATTTACAAGTTCCTCATGCTAATACGACCGCCATCTTGAATTAAGATATTATGGGATGTCCAGGGAGAATGCACACATTATATAAAATAGCATCGAAAAACTACTTTAGTTTGATCTGATAATTTCTTCAATGAGTCAAAATCATATAAACTAGTCATTTCTAATAGAAAGTGAGTGCTACGAGTAGCTATTTCATTTTCACAACCTATAACAGATGTTAGGCCACATCAGCGTCGCAGTGGTGTGATGCAACTTTTCACGTAACGCAAAATTCTTCAGACAAATTCTTGAACAAATTCTTGAACCGCTGATCGTGTGTACCTTGTCACGTTCTGTTAGGGACATCCTTGAATCGGCACTGTATTCCGAATAGAAATCACAGCAAAAATATTCAAATGTGCGTGTCAGATTTACAGGATCACTGCATATTCCAAAAGATTAAATTTTATAGCATTGTTAAGTCAAACAGCCTCTAATTGTTCAGGTTAGTGTACCTGGGCGTAGTTTCTTACTGAACCTGAATAGCCAATGCAAGATGGCGGTCATATTGAATTTGAACGCGATTATCTGACGTGATATAACACGATAAGGAGAAGCATTTTTACAGGAATGCGAAATATAGCTTGAAGAACCCTACAACGTGTTTCCAATCTACTGTATTATTGCTAACAGTACCCAGGCCACCACAAACGAGATGTACGTCAACACATTACTATAGAGACCTGGGGACGAGCTCATTACGTCACATCGAGATCTCGTGGACACATAGGGTTTCTTAATTGTTACTTTGTCGGCAAGATTATCGGGGTTTAACCAGTCCTGTGAAAAACAATTATTGAACATCTTAATATATTGTTGAAGTAAACCCTTGCTAAGAAAATATTGGAATTGAGGTAGAAAGTGTGTGAAATCACGCAATAAGGGAACTTTAGACTGCGTTTCCACGGATCCTATCGTAATGCATCAATCAATTGAAAACTCTGCTCCCGCCCCTAGGGAGGGTAGGGGAATTAACGCAGCTAATGGCGGGAGAATGACAGAACTTTAACATTGCCTTTCTAATTCCTTCGGTATTGCCCGGGAGTTGGGGAACTTCTTTTCAATTTACTGATGCATACCTGCATATTCTTATATATACGATCCCACTAAAACTATATCAACTTTGAAAAGCTTTACAGAAATATTCGGATATGGTCATGGATTTCGATTTTTTGTAATAAAAGGCCTAAACGCATGAAAAAGGGAAGCGCAGAATCAGAATTTGTAAACATTCATGCAATGTCATAATTAGTGGCTGATGGGCGAAATTGTATCACTCATGAACTCATATCTCCCTCTTATCACTATAACGCAATCGTCTCAGCGCTATTGCATTCTATCTACAACCACAACTGCACAGAGATATATGAATAAACCATGATAAAAACTGATACTGTCTATTTTGAAGCCTTACATTGATATTACTGATATTCCCCTTTGTGCAGTCTGTGATGACTTTGTTTTCATCATAAAATCTTTTCAAATCCGAAGTCATTTCGTCAGTCCAGTTTGGTTTAATAGCGGTCATTGGGTTGTACCATCGGTGTGCATAGGGCTTCAATTTCCTAGAACACAAAACAMAAGTCAATATCGTAGTCTCGGCTTCTCAGGCAGCYTACCCTTTTGACGTGACARGTAGCGTTTAGAGAACATGGGAGAACATTTTGTGCGCGCTGTCCCTGTTTYCTTGTTCACYTATAGGTGKCTAGTTCTGTTCTCGTYGGAAATAACTATACTTACGGAAAGTGCTTTTCGACGAACTTGTAAGGTCCTATTAGCGATGTGCTTGTGCAATACTTGAAGTTTGGCAAACGAGGATAATACCACATGATATTTAAGCACATTTCTTCTGCTGTTGCCAATCCTCCCTATTGGAGATAGATAGCGACTCTTCAACAAACATACATGGTTTTCTCGATACACAACGAATATGAYAATTAACTTGGCAATGGAATGATTCACTTACATATGTGGGTTTGTCGCGATTCATAGTATTGTAATTGCATTGATGGATCATTTCATCTCCCTGCACATCACAAGAAAGTCTGGTAARTATATAGTTGTTAATATCTGAAAGTAGATGAACATATCAGTCTTACCGGTCGGAAATGGACCTCGTTTTTCACACGTTGTACCTCCTATGCATATGAAAGACTTGTGTCAGTATTAATTGAATCGTATTTTCAATGTCATTTATAAAAATTGTATTTGAACTTTAGCAGGTGTACTTTGCCTGATCAATTTTGGTTTGTTATTGTTGTTGTTTGTTTTATTTATCYATTTGCTAATCTTCTTCAAGGATGAGAAAAGCTCATCTTGTACATTATACAGATGATGATCCAAATACGGTCCTGTGACCGACCCTGGGACCGGTTATATACGAGGTTAAATCAAGTTATCCACCAGTTAAAGTTTTCCACTCGGGTATTGTATACGGATTTTATACAACGGATAAGGATTTAATCGGTGGACAACAACAACATTTGACTGAACGAGTACTGTTGTACCACAAAAAAAATTCTCGTCTCAAAATAATAGAATCACTATATTACCTGGAAGTTAAAGTCATAATAATTGTCCTTGGCAATATCTGGTAGCTGAACACCGTCCCGGATGTGTTTTGTCCGTAGACCGCGCCCTTCATGAAGAAACAATGGTAAGCATAGTCAAATCACAGAGAAAGAAGCAAATCATCGTTTTCCGCTTTTAAATGTTAAAGGATCAGTTTTATGTCTTCGTCTGCGATGTCGCAACTATCTAGTCGGCAGTGCCTAGTTTTTTTGTTTATCATAGTGCCATGCGGTCTTCATATTCATATCTTTACATTATCCTATTACCGCAACCTTAACATCTATTTCACCCCGACCTGCTCCCAGTCTGGCCTTGTAGCTCAGCTGGTAGAGCATCGGTGTACAATCCGAAGGTCGTGGGTTCGAATCCCAGCGAGGTCGGAAATTAATTTTTCCGAATTTATTCCTAAGGGACTTCTCCCGGAATTGCCTCCTTCTAAGCACTATAACTTTCTTTCATTTCTATATAGTGCCTAGTTTAGTTTGCCATAAGTCGTTTGACGCTGTCCAAAGTTGATCAAAAAGCTGAGTATAGCAGTAGTGCTTACCAACTAAATGAGTGTGAAGAAACGTCGCGAAGATTTTGACTCCTTTTCCAGGTAAAGTGCTCTTCTCCAATTTCTGTTTAAAAAGAATAATCYTCACTGAGTTAAAACCTTTATCTACAGACAGTTATGAGAGCATTATAATTGCAAGGCCCGGCTCAGACGTCGATCCTTAACGCAAATGAAGCTGATTATCTCGTAGACTGAAAAATGTATATATAAGCTGCAGTATTTACTCACCTTCTTTGTGCATTCCTTTTTACAATGGCTTGTCACAGTCCATTCCTGTTGCTTGGGCGGTATTACCATCCATGTTATCACATCACTACCAACACTTAACGAGCCGGCATCGTATTGACGAAGGTCAGACGTATAATAGAAACGCACACCAGAGCTATCAACACGACCTGCAAACGTAAATGAGTTTATACACGAGTTACAAGAGTTGATCACAGAGCCGCGTAGTACGTACGCATCAATACAATTTCACAGATTTCMATCACAGCAAGGCTAGTACAAACATTAAATGTGTSCAATACTTTCCACTATTTACTACAAAATAGTTTTAGTGTTTGTACTCTACCATTAATCACCCGGGGTTCACTTCCATTTTGCATTGGAGCATTACGCTTAACTCCTATCTAATTTTATGTATCATTATGTAATATGCCTTGGCAAAGATTTTGATCTGGCTAAGCTAATGTTCAAAGAGTCGTTTTTTTATCTAAAATCACCTAAGAATCACTTTCTGTAAGATAATAATTAATTCGTCACCAACCTTTGATTAGTTCTGGATTGTCGTAGTGAACTTCYAGTAGAACTATTCCTTCGCTGTCGCTCATACCAACGGGAAAACCAACATGTTCAGGAAAATGAAAAGGCTAGWAAAATTCAAATCAATGATATCAAATGCTGCTCCCAGGAAGCAACGTGCACATGTTGGTTTCACATGCAGTCATGGGRGATGCTCAGGAGAGATAACGACTAGAGCGAGCATTGTAGTGAGTGGAAATAGCTCTTAATGTGTCACTTCTCGAGATGAGGCGCAACAATCTCGACGAGAGATTAAAATTACGTAAAGAGACATCTGGGAAGGAACGTGGAGTTTTACTAGTGTAAGCAGAAATCATCGTTTGAGGTCTGCCAGTATAAAAAAGAATTGATGTATACTCACCCCTGCACCAACTCCCCACGATCCTATCATGTCTCCTTTAACTTTACAGTTTATGACTTCACTGGGCATGTTAGCAAAGTCAGTGCACTCTACGGTCTTGTTCAGTAAATATCCAGGCATCGGCGACTTACACTCAAATACAACGAAATGGTGGACGAACCCTTCATTTTCTGGCTGAACAACGGGGTCAAACTGAAATGAAGGATTTCGTATCTGTCAGTATTTTACAACGTTAAACAATTTGCTTCACCTTTAAGATGATAACAAATAATGCATCATCATTATTTTCATCATCACCATCATTAATATCATCACTGGCGCATGTTGCAGGATCTGTGCGCACATGCACATTCGGYATGATTCGATGACTTCAGTATGACCGGCTCACCTTCATCCGATCACTCGTAACAAGTATTTGTGAGCCTGCGGCCGACTGATGAATGAGGCTAGTCATCAAGAATTTATTAGTCATCGAATTAAGTAATGTTTCACGTTACAAAGAGAGCCGTTTTCATCTYATTGAAGATCGTGGTGGGCTGATAGTATGCGCGCTACATACCCTGACAATGTGCCTTTTTCCTCCAAGATCAGGCATCTTGAATGACTGGCAAGAATAACTTGTTTTTCTTGTTGGAACAGTTACCTGATAAACAAACAGAACTACTTTTAGTAGTTATATGCGCTATATAAAATAAAATTTCAAACAATATGTGTTGCATCTCCTGGAAATCCAAGCGTAATCTCCTGTCGTTCGTTCGAACCTAATAAAAGATTACACCTGGGCATCCGAGGATGTCCACATAGTAAAACAAATAGCATTTTTAGTCAAAATAGAAGTATGAGGTTATCTAATAAGTAAAAATCACATTATCAACTGACGGAAATGACAGTACGTATTCTGATTCAGTCACTGGAATGGATAAACAACAATATACTTACGTTGTCCATGAGGAATTCCATCGTTTGCCACTTAGGGTCGGGTTGGCTTTGTTTTTGAAAATTCAGCAGTAGCATACTTCGTGCAGACTGGTAGACATGCTTGGCCATTTTATTTGRTGTGACAGGGTCTTCGTTACTGTAAGCAAATATTACGCGAGTCGTACCATCCTAACACGATAGAAAACGCTTTACATTCACTATATTGTTTATAAAATTATAGTTTTTTTTATATAAACTCTATCTGATTGGCTGAGAATGCTTCAATATTTCCATAGACGCATGCGCGTTATTGGAATCAATACATATATAACACGGGCCGGTACGCACTTTTATTGCGGAGATTGTTGTTTTATCATTTACGGTCTTTTCTGAGATAGTAGTGTCCATTGCTTAGGTTAATTGTTCATGTGGCCAAATYTGATATTGTTTCTCTTGTACTGAAGATGGACCACTATGAATGCATTATGATTTAGTATTTTAGAAAAATCTATTGCATCACGACCTTCATCACTACTATATGACCGAATTCCACACAAAAATTAAAGACATTGAAATCTTAGCATCGCTGTGCTGTGTTCACTTGTAGAGAGCCTTTGATTAATACTGGAGAATGATAGAGAAATGTCGACTAGAAGGACACGTATAACGATAAATGTTTTTTGGTGAGTGTGTGTTTCACGAAGTTGTTCTTTTTACATGTTCTTACACTACATGAGCCTTTACAGTAAGTAAAAGAAAAAAACTCTCACCAAAATCAATTGTTTCCCTGYTCTCGTTCCTTCCCAGGGGTCTTACCTCGATTTTCAGATCGTSTTTATCACAGGTGTCAAGTTTTCTGCTAAACTTCAAAATAGTTTTTCCATCTTGTTCATAGCCTGAGATGAGCTCATAGTCTTGGGAGTCGTCCATCATTGGCAGAAAATGCCCTTCACCTTTGCGATCCTAGAATAATCATACCGGCGAATTTCAATGATTTTGTTTAAACTACTTTTATAAAGCTATCAGTGTTTAGGGCAGAGAAAAAAGGCAAATTACACTGTGGAACTACATGAACAAAACAKATGACCSRCCGAGCTTACAGCTTGATTCAAGATATTTGAAAGCCTTTGTCCTCCCAAGTGTTACGTTCACATAAGAAAACCATTCAACTTCTTTGAAGTTGACATTTAAATGGTTTTTTTAATTATTGTCTATAATATAGTGTGACTTTTATATATGCAAATAACTTCAGTAACTAGTATATATAAGTACATAAGTAAACATATGCATTTTAGCCCGTCTTCTTGAAGTTAAGTCACTGTATTGTGCTAAGACTCTATTTCAACTATTCATGTACAACTAAAAAGTTATTTGTGTTAATATATATAAATAGAATTGTTGCTTTGTTAGATAGCGCATGTGACATCGATGTGACACCACGGAATCGATATTGTCAAGTTCGTTCCTGTCTCCGATGCAATGGTATTGATATAGGTCAAATTCCTTGACATGTTCTGAACTCGACCTAAAATGGCTCACGCATCATGAGCAGATACATCATTCATGCATACTCACTGTTAAATACGGTTTACCGTCTTTGACCCATCCAATGACAATGTCCGCGCCAGTCATTCGACCAGTCCCAGGAGAAAATCCTAACCCAACCCACCCAGTAGTCTCTGCTTCGAGTGCAAAGCTTATACTCTCATTCTTCTCATGCACAGTCCAGTAAAGCTTCATTTTCTCRGCCGGGTCAAGAGCTACAAAATGGTCGTGCTCAGTTAGGAGATCTGCAGCTCCATACGATAGGAGATTTAGGATAATTACAACACTCAAATAACATGCCATCATTTTAGCATGGAGAAAACAACGTTATGAGCTCTTCTTGGTAATYGCTGCCTTGATATTTGACAAAGTCCTGCGTTGCTATTGGCTAAATACAACAATTGCATTACTAATCGATCTAAATTGGGATGCTGTCCTCATATCCGAATCCGATAAGTATGYACTAAGCACACTGATTAAATACTGTGCCCTCATTGGTCGGTTGCTTAATTATTCTGACGGACATTTTTGAATTGGGACCCATGATGTCATATCTGATAAGTTGTTATTGTAACAACTTTGTGTGCAATAATGTGTGACGTTGTAGTCTTAAACTCTCTAATAAGACGTCAGAAATATTGATAGAGAAGTATCAAAAGAAGCCAATTGTATAGTTCTGCAGTAGTGGTAATGCAAGAATCTCATGAACAAATTGAGCACGTGGAATTGTGACTGGGAGTGATCCCATTTTTCAATGAACAAAGCATAATGAAGCATAGTTTCACTTCCGGCTTGGAAGTCAGATTAAGGCCAAGGACAAACACCGAACTTAATTAATTCGGTTCAGTTTCTTTTAAAAAAATGAGGCATGGAGAATGGGGAATACTGCAGCACTGGCCCAAACTGATCCCCCAGCCCTCCCCCAGTTCCTCGAATTCCTCAAAGTTAGTGCAAGAAATGTCGTATTCTTCAGAAAATGACCTCAATTCACCTCAATATAGTGATTGCGCACTTCTAAAAATAGCCAAAACTTGAATTTGGTACGGGAAATGACTCCTTCTAAGTAATGCACTGTGAGATCGCAGAAACACTCGAAAAGACTGAGGCGGTTTTCACTAGCTACGACAGAGCAAGCGCGAATGCCGCATATTCAATCTTCAACGCACTGATAAATTAGCGCAAGGGCAAGCGCAAAACATCAACCTTTTTCCTTTTGTCTTGCGCTTGCTCTTGTGCTTGCATTTACAAGTGAAAACCACTGTTTTTTGAAGAACCGCAAAGTGCAATAAAAGGCTATTTCAGAAAAAGTGGTGGAGGTGACTAAGCAAGGGAAATAAAGGGAAAATTGCGGCTGCTATGAAAAAGCATAGTTAACATATTAACTATGGAAAAAGTCAGTTCGTAAATATATCAGTTTGTCGGTAATAGATCTTTTCCCGGTATTTAGCTTTTGTCGTTTGACCTAYTCGTTAGTTTGGGATCCCTGTTGTGGTGGCGATGAAGACAAGATGGCGGMAGGTAAGAAGTTAGTTTCGCTTCAGTATATCGATTGAAATGCTTCCACAGCACGATTTCTCGACTTGCTGCCGAATTAATCGATTTGATTAGTTTGCTTGTAATCTTTCATAGCATCAAAGTATAAGAATAACGCTAAGAAACCGTGCATTTGATTGAAACACAATTTACAAATGTGTCTGACAAAGTGAGGTGCACGTGTTTTACAGATACAACTATAGCAGTACAGCTTCTCTTCTTTGTTATCTGAATAATAACACCGCTGAAACGTAAATAAAATATCATGTCATCAGAATTTATAGAGGTATATACAAAACATATAGTGTATTTGAGTTATCATATACTTAAGAAATATAGCAAGTTCGACTAAAAAGCGAAGGTTTGGCTGCATGATTTATGGCCCTGAGCAGCCGGATAGCGTTTTGTAACACAGGGCTATTCAAAATCCGTACGTTTCAGGTTTAATTAGAGCTAGTCGAGWTATCGGCAACTCAGCTTTGTGGAACTCAACCCAGATTTGAGTAAAAGTCTTGCTGTACCAGTCGCGTATAATAAATGTATCAGCTTCATACCTACATGTAACTTACATGTTTTAAGTCYATCTATGTTGTARATATGAGRGTAGCATAATTTTTACTCAACGTAGTCAATTTCAATATTTGGAAATCAAGCTTAACTAGTGCATATAGAAGTAAAATAATCATCATTCMAAAGATTTTCTGAGATAGTAAAGCCCYGTCTACACGAGCAATTTTTATGTGGCAATTTTTATGTGACAACTTGTAATTGCCCGTGTAGATGAGCAAAATTGGCCAATTTTTATGTGACAACTGTAGTTGCTGGAAAGCTGGCATGCTAGTTTTTANCTCAACATTTTGCACATCAACCAAGATGGCAACGCCGATAGTAAGCAGAACGACCAGATCGACAGAGAGAATGGTATTATTGTTGTTGTAAGAGCTAAAACCAACCAAATTTGCTTTGTTTATTGGCATCTCCGCTGTGCAAAATCACACTTGGCGCGAATCTTCGACAGTTATTTGCTGCCTGTCCACAAGGACAAATAAAAATTGCCACATATAGTTGTCACATAAAAATTGTTCGTGTAGACGGGGCTTAAAAGACCATTGAGACTAAATGAGATTTTCAAAATTTTAGATCAAGACTTTTATAATTTGATGGTATCCAATTGTTTTCAATTTTATGCGTGCTTAGTCAACCAAAAGTTTTTAAGTGGGCTGTTTAAGTGCTAATAGTGCAATTGAAGTTCCCACACATGACAGAACATGACAAACTTTTTGAGAAAAAAAAGTTATTATTGACAAACTGGTTGGCCAATAAGTGCTTTCTCAGATTGTAGCATGTTGTATACAATAATTGTTTAATTTTTTGAAATTTATTTTTTAGCAAAAACTGAGACAACAGAAGACACCACAGTTCAAAAGAACCAGACAAGACCAAGCAACCTGTGTTGTTACTCACAGAGAATTTGTAACCTTGAAAAACTCAAAGGCTTTGATTTCTGTCATAAGCACATATTGGAGGACAAGGCCAGTCCGTTCAAGCCATGCGATTTTTATGCCAAAATCAATGACAAGCGTTGCATGAATCCAGCTCCTAAGATGCCAGATAATCAGAAAAGGTAA